CAAAGCATATTAGAGAAATCATTTAAAATATAGAAAATATTTTTAAAAACGTATGTGACCATCACCAAAGTATCCTTCATAAAAGAAACTAATTTTTTTTAATGTGAAATAGTGTCTTTTATATGAAAGACACTATTCTTAACAAGGAAAAATGTAATTCTTCAGAACTTAAAGTAAATAAATAAGCAATGAGACTTTTTTTTTTTCCTTTTTTATTTTTTTGAACCAATGCTTTGGCATTATTTTGTTAGTTTGCATTTTAGCTTTTGAGGCAGGACCCTGTGTAACACTGTCTTGTCTGATAGACCACACTGGCCTTGAACTTGTGTGTATCTTGCTTTTGCCTCCCAAATGTTAGGATTACAGGTGTGTGCCATCACACTCACCTAATAATATTAATAGTATTTAAATCAATCCAAAATTCATCTAAGAATAAGTATAAAAGTATGTCTCTGAATGTGTAATTTCAAACTTGAGAAACTCCTATTTAATTCTAGGTTATTAATGTGGACCTGACTCATATTGAAAATAGAATCAGTGACATTGTTAAATCAGAAAAGCATGTCCAAATAGTATTGGGACAATTGATAGATGAGTAAGTATAATATTTTCCTTCCTTTTCCTTCCTTCTGTCAAATAGTAATAAATTTGAGCCAGTTGTGGCTAGTTAGACATTTAGAGCTCATATGGTGCTGCTTTCATTATAAAAATTACACCACTTAAGAATTAATGTCTTCATAAATGGTATAAATTTTGATCCTTATTCTGTGAGAGCATTACAGAAACACAATTTTTGTATTTATCCTGTATAAACTGAACTTTGAAACCAAATTTGTTCAAAAACTACTAATGCAAAATAACTGTAAAGTTTCCACTGGCAGAAAAAGAAATTTTCATTTGATTAAGGTTACATTTAGTTATGCTCATGAGGATAACATAAGCTTTAGAGTGTTAGTAATGACTGATGCTCAGTCACACCCTCTTCACTACTGTGGGACAAACTCTACTCCAGCAGGGAGGAGTGAAAAGAAGAGTGCAGAAGAAAACCAAGATGTTTTTATTTTTCTTTTCTTCAACACTAGGAACTATTTGGATCGGTTAGCAGAAGAGGTAAATGATAAATTACAAGAAAGTGGTCAAGTAACCATATCAGAATTGTGTAAAACCTATGACCTTCCTGGAAACTTTCTCACACAGGTACTTTTTTTCCTAACAGTATAAAGAATTTTAAATAAAGAATCTTAGTGGAAGAAAGAAACATCACATATTTTAAACATAAATTGATTTATTATAAGTAGATGACTTGATATACCTCAAAGCACTATATTTTGGGGATATGTCCCATAAATTGATGGCTCTGAGATTGTTGAAAATGATTACAGTCATCATGAACCATAAGACACCCTGAGAGTGACTGATAAACTAAGTTCTAGGACTTTGGAGTTAAACAGACCTGGATTTGAATCCTGTCAATGCCACTTATTTTGAAAACATTTTTCTGTGTTATAAAAGTATCAGACAACCTGACTTGAGCACTTTATCTGGGGATATGAAATATGTCCAGACTTATTTTACATATAACTGACCCAAGGCATAGGTCTTCTCTAGACCTATCTTTATGTCTTGACATTTGTATGTTAGAAGCTGCCTGTGTCAAGAAAATTGGTTAATCATTTTTACTTTACCTTAGATATAATATAAGCATTGTTGGCTAGGGCTATTATAGTTCAACCTTTTATCATAGAAACGGTGTGACTCATTTCTTTACTCTAGTGTGAGATAATAGAGCTTTCTTGATACTGATTGTCATTTTAGTTTATATGCCATGGAATTTGTGCCTGAAATTTCTGTCACAGCTGGTACATCATTGACACATGGCATGAATGGACTAGGACTATAAAAATGTATATGTTTAATTTTGTTGTTTTAAATTAATAAAAATTGACATCTTTACTCCTAGGCATTAACTCAGCGACTTGGCAGAATTATCAATGGACATATTGATCTTGATAACAGAGGAGTAATTTTTACCGAAGCCTTTGTGGCTAGACATAAGGCCCGCATTCGAGGACTATTCAGCGCAATTACCCGGTAATCATGTTTTGAAATATATATCGATTTGAACATTTCTTTGATATGGTCTGCATATTTTTTCTAGCAGGTGACTTTTTTTTAAGCAAAAATCTCATGGAGCTTCTCAGTTTAGTGGGCAGGTAGGAGAGCGTCTCGGAGATGGCATCCCTACCTCAGCCTGTCTCTGCCCACATCTCCTTCCTCTCCCTCCTCATGACGTGGATTTCTGCAGAAAGCAGGTCAGAATCTGCTGTTGACATCAGTGTGTTAAATCACCCTGAAATCATGGAAAAACTATGCAGTTGGGAAAATCAGAAGAATTTGGATTCAGTCTCTGTCACATAGTAACCATGTGACCTGGAACACATAAGTCAGTAACCTAACTTCTTGGGGCTTCAGATGGAACTTCTTTTAGAAGATTTTTTACTAAATTCTATAATTTTAGTGAGTAACTGTTACTTTCAAAGGCACATGTCTGTGATAAGAAATTTTAAAATGTTTAGGATTATGTGTAAACCTATAGAAGAAAACCTATGTTCTCAGTTACCTCCTCACCTGTAACATCAACTTCAGTAGCTCTGTGCTCCATCAGCATTTGAAATGTCCAGATTTCTCCAAAATGAGCTCTCTGGATGGCATAAAGCACTCTGTGTAGCATCCTGCTTATCCATTTCCTTTAAGGGTCCCTTCTAGAGAGTGATGTCACTGTCTCAGGTGTCATCCACTCTCTCAGTGTTTTTGCCCTCTGTCATTTCTCAAGCACCTGTCTGGTTTCTATCACTTACATGGTCAATACCATGGTCTAATATCTATATTCCATTTTTTAAAATATATTATTTGTTACTTTTATTTTATGTGTATGCATGCATTGCCTTCATGTGTATAAGTACATCCATGTCATGCAGTGCCCATGGAGGTCAGAAGAGGGAGTCAGATCCCCTGGACCTGGAATTAAGATGGTTGTTACCAGCTATGTGAGTGCTGGGAATCAAACTCAGGTCCTCTGCAAGAGCACTCAGTGCTCTTAACCGCTGAGCCAACTCTATAGCCCCTCTGTATTCCATTTTTATCTTGTCTTTACATTTAACTCCAAAAATCTTTTTAAATCAGGCAGGTGTATGGATTTTTTTTTTTGGTCATTTAACAAGTCAATATGCATTTCTTGAGTACCTAATACATGCAAGTACTAGGCATGCAGAAGACTAAAGCTTTAAAGGGAAAATGTTCTAATGGAAAAGTTTTATGGTCTAATGGAAAAATGTCTTCTTTTCTTGTAAATACTCTGAAACTTATAGTTAAGTATCTAGAAATCTTTTCTATGACCCAGTACAGGAAATTGCTCAAATGATTTTCTTTTTCTACAAATATTTTAGTCTGTATTTCCTAAAACAGGGCATTAACCAATATAATATAATATAATATA